AAATAATTCAAGTTTGGTAGAAATGCTTTAACAGATAAAATATATGTTTATCAAAAAAAGTCTAATGTTACAACCAATCGGGGATCAGTAGTATTAAGTGACTCATTAAGGAGTTCTGAATCTAATCTGAGCTTTTTGGTTCTTTCTTTTATTTATTGTAGTTAATTGAAAATAATATTTGTTACAGTAAACTAGAAAACACTTTTGTACAAAATAATTCAAGTTTGGTAGAAATGCTTTAACAGAACAAAGAGACTAAAAGTCTAAAATACTCTACCTCAGGTCTTAAATGAGATGAGTCCAGGTTCAACAAAGAGAACTGATAAGGATACATTAAAACCTGCATCAGTGCTGAAACATGTCTACACACATATCTAGTGTAAGACAACACTCGTAAGACAAATGTTCTCCTCACAACCGGTTTAAAGCTGCAGATCAACGATGTACAGAGGTGTAGTGTGTTATTTTTACAACACCAGAGGAACAAAATATACACAAAATACACAAACAACAACTGTAACTAGTAACTAAAGCTTTTACAGAACTGTGGTGGATAAAGGCAAAAACGATACTCAAGTAAAGTACACATTCTCAAAAATGTACTTAAGTAGAGTACTCAAGTAAATTTACTGTACTTTGTTACTGCCCAGAGGACAAAGTGAGGACAAAGTGAGGGCAGAGTGAGGACAACGAGGAAAAAGTGAGGACAGAGTAAAAACAAAGTGAGGACAATCAGTGTTTTATAAAACACTACTGAATAAATAAATACAGATTTAAAGAGCCTCAGTTTTTCAAGTGGTGGTTCCTTCACCCACACGAGGCCACCTTGATCTGATTGAAGTCCAAAGCTGATCAGATGAGCATCTACTGATTACCTTCTGAGAGTTTCTTTAAAATCTGTTCAGCAGCTCATGAGATATTTTACTAACAGACAAACAGTTGATGGTGAAGCTTTGTAGCAGCTCCTGGATGATTACATCTAAAGATGAGCACTACGACAAACACATTCTGTCCACACTTACTGAGCTCTAACTGTGGGTGGTAGTAGCTGAGAGTCACCCCCAAGAGATGAGCGCCTCTCGTTGCTCATATTTACTTAAACATGAGTCATCTGTCTGTCTGTTAGCAAAACATCTCATGAACCACTGGACACATTTGGATCTTCTGTCTCCCACTCATCTGCAGCCAAACCACCTGAACATGAAGTGGACTACACATGTAACTGTTGTGTCCACCAGCTCCCCCTGCTGTCCACACGGTGTCTGTCTGAGTGGTTCTCCCACTGACCACTCCAAACTATGTTTACTGGTCTGTGTAAAAGACAGTGCTGGCTCTAGCCATTTTGGTGCCCTAGGCGAGTTGAAGCGCAACACCTCCCCCCCTCACCCCGAACTATGTCCCACCCACTCCAATTTGAACGCCCTGAAAACAGGTTTGAGAGTGTAAGGTACCATGGTAAACTTAAATTTATTTGCTTTCCCAGAAAGCAAATAAATAACAACAAACATGTCAACTTGTATGGATTGTCAATAAGTCATAAGGATTTTACGTCATTTTGCAGGTACACGGACGTATAGCGTATATATATAT